TAATAATTGTTTTGAATTGCCTTTGACAGCAGTATGTATAAAAGTCAACTTCAATTTCTAGCTCATTTGCTTCTTTTACCATGAGGTGGTAGAAAGTAGAGATTAGCAAACTATAATCTTCATTTATATTTCCTGTATACATTTCTTTCATCATCAAAATATTCTTCAGTGTGGTAAGATAACACTTTCTGAGTCTACTGTTAGTTGTTATGAGGTACACCATAGATTGTTACATCAGAAAAACGGCATTGCTATTTGTTAGGCTTAAGTAAAAGTACATGGTAAGTTTCAAGAAAAGGTTTGTTGTTTTAAATTTAAGGATAAGTATGTGAACTTAACTCATAAGCATGTAAAGGCCACACTGGGCTTTCTTAATATCAGATATAAGGAGAGTTAGATTTGTTTGGATTTGGTATCTTTTCTCTCTGGCCTTAGTTGCCACAACAAGGCCATTCGAAGTTGCAGGGACCTTAAACTAGGATTCTTGTGAACATGGAATTTGAGATAAGTTTCATCTGCAGATGGAGGCAAAAGATACATGTATGAACACTGTTAAGTTAGGACTGGACGCACAGGTTCTTTCAAGATTCGATCCATCCTTGTAACAAGACTGGATCTGTGATGCAAGTCGACAAGCAGTTTGTAAGCACAGATTTACGGGCACATTGGTGATTTTGCTCAGGCCATGACTGTCGTAAAATTGTAGGGCTTACAACATAGAAAACTTAGATTATGAAAGTAATCAGGCATAAAAGGGATGGAAGGCTCTTGGTTTGAAAATACTAAGTATATATTTAGTTTGTAGTGTATGAATATGCATGGTCACATGTCAGGGACATCTACATATCCATAAGGGGGTGGGGTTACACAAATGAAAGCTGATCCTACCAAACCACGCCCCTTGTATGGGAATATTGATTTACGTTTATACGCAGGGTAACTCTTTAAGTATTATTGTAATTTTGAAGCAGTATTGATATAATAGTATTAAGTATAAATTTACTCTGATTACTACAGCTACTTAAAATTATACCATTTATGATATAGCAGATTTTTCATATATAAATTGATAAAAAAACTGTTACACTACCGGTTTACCTCCGTCACAGAAAATCATGATGTTAGTTGTAAATCAACTTACTGTGAAACAAAAACTCAAGACTCTTTAGTATTATCAGGAATATGGACTTTAGTGCCACTTAAGCAGAGAAGCAGGATGTTGGGAACAGTTCCCAAGTTGTCCAAACGGCCTCCAGGACCTCTTGATAAACTGTTTGGACTAACGGAATGACATGTACCAAGATGTGTGTACATGTACATGTAGGTTATTTGTGTGCAATATTAGGTCCACCTTCAAAGTACAACTGAATTCAAAATGAAGATGAGTTAAAGGTACACTATCTTTCAAATGAACTGAAGAATTAATTGGACATTTGCCAAAAGCAAATAATTATATTTTGTGATGTAGGGCTTTAAACTGTATCATATTGTTAAAACATTGAAGAACCTTTATGTAAATGTAGCTTATGTAAATTATGTACATGTAAAGACACTAAATGGTCAAGTAAGATGTTTTATTCTGACCTAGGGTATGGAGTTGTAAGCGTAAGAATCTACAGTGGTAGATTTTTTTCCAAGAAAGTGATAAACACGCAGTAATATTTTTGTAATGAAACTTTTATGGTAATTATAAGAAGAAACTGTGTAAAAATTGTTTAAAATGTTTGGAATTTTAATTACAAACTGTAATTAAACTTAAAGCAAATTGTAAGACCATTAGGCTGAAGAATTGGACATTTATATTGCAGAAGCAACTGGATTGAATTGGAAAATTAACTGAGTGACTAATGTGACTAAACTTGACACATTTTGAATCTGATAAAAATTGCAAAAAAAAAATGCAGCCTCATGAAGTCCCTGCTGCTGTACGTTTGGATGGGCTGCAGCTATCATTGCACAATGTGAATTCTTCCAGTAAAATTCTCAACAATTGGACTCTTTTGTAAGAAGAAAAATGTACTTTTTTAAGTCTGAGGTATAGAGTGTGGAGAAATGTTATCTCAAAAATGGACAGAAAATAACTCTGAAAATTTTTGAGAAAATGTTACCTTTTGATTGTGCTTTCTGTATGGAACATTTTTAAGGTGCTGCAAGTTGACAGTAGAGACGTAATTTAATTTCTCTGTCAGTTTGGGGTCTTTTATTAGTAGTAGAAACTATTATGTATCATAGAGTGAAATTCGCTGTGAACCAAAATGTGACACCCTATGCATTACACACAAGTACTCATGCAAACCTGAATATTCCCAAATCCTTCACAATCCTACAATTGATTTTGGAGGATTTTGCAGGATTAAGGAAGTGAAACATGGTGACCAGGACTTGTTATGGACCATTGGTCTCCTTGAGTGTAAAAGTACAAAGAATTTAGCATCGGTATCTTCCAGGGGAGCGCATAC